TTCAAACTGCAAGCTCAGAGGCCGGCAGCAGCAGGCGGGGAACATTGGAGTCCTCCATCACTGAAGCAAGCAAGCCTCATGTTGGCTTCAAGCTGCCTGGCTGCCGGCCGCCATCTTGACTGGCAGTTAATTTGCATATCTCCCTGATTAGCCAATGGGAAGGGTAGCGGATGTACAGCTAATTACCATGTTTCTCTTTTATTAGATAGGATATTAGCAGCTGTTCTGGGTACGGGGAAGGATGCAGAACATTCTTGGATCTGCCCCAGCTCCTTGTCAGATTCACTCCTTGCTCCTTTTTGGTTCTTATCTTTCCTCTACCTAAAGTTCCTCACATCCACCAATTGCTCTTCAATGTCTTTGATTAGGCCTTAAAAGCACTAACAATATATGTACTCAAAATAGCACTCAGTGGGAGTTCATAATTGCCTAGAAATCAGTTTTTCTTTATTTGTGTGGGAAATGTGTGAGGAATAGAACTTTGAGAATAAGTATGTTAATAAGAAATGGTGTAAGAAAATAAAGGGGGGGTTACTGGTGGAGATAGGACCAACTTTTTAAACTCCCTCCAAAGATTCAAAAGAGAAGCAAAGCAAAGGAGATACTAATTAAGTAAATACATTGATAGATCAAAGAAAGAAAAATAGAACACTAGTTTAGCTATGTGTGTATGTCACATAAACTATAAAGCAGAAATCATTAGTGACAGCAATAATTATGAATTTATATGAACTTCATAGTAGAAAATTTGAATAACTCAAAAATTGACAAGTTAAGAGAGGTCAGAGTGGGACCATCCAGTTTGCAACTCTGTGGAACCATAAAAGACACACTCAGGGGGAAGACTCAGTGAGCACCAAAGCCCCATTGAAGCAAGTCTAGCCCCAGAGGGGTGTCTCCAGCACAGAAGTTCTCCCACTGCAGACACAGCTGATTCTCACAGCCAATTGGCCTGGAGGTCAATTCCTCACAGTGATAACTACAACAATCAAGGCTTAATTACAACAAGACTGTGCACAAAGCCCATAAGGGGGTGCACCAAGAGTGTCTACCTCAGGTAATTGGTACACTTAGCACAGAAAGGAACTCTATCGATACAGCGAAGCATAAAAAATGCCGAGACAAAGAAACAGGACACAAACGACAGAATGGGAGGAAAGCAAACTGCTGGATATAGAGTTCAAAACCACACTTTTAAGGTCTTTAAAGAACTGTCTAGAAGCCGCTGATAAACTTAATAAGGCCCTCGAAAAGACTGGTGAGACCGCTGATAAATGTAGTGAGATCTTCAAGAAGACTCATGAGACCGCCGATAAATGTAGTGAGATCCTCAAGAAATCTAATGAGACCCTCGATGTTGTGATAAAGGACCAACTAGAAATTAAGCATACACTGACTGAAATAAAGAACATTATACAGACTCCCAACAACAGACCAGAGGCTCGCAAGAATCAAGTCAAAGATTTGAAATACGAAGAAACAAAAAACACCCAACCGGAAAAGCAAAATGAAAAAAGAATCCAAAAATATGAAGATAGTGTAAGGAGCCTCTGCGACAGCTTCAAGCGTACCAACATCCGAATTATAGGGGTGCCAGAAGAAGAGAGAGAGCAAGATATTGAAAACCTATTTGAAGAAATAATGACAGAAAACTTCCTTTACCTGGTCAAAGAAATAGACTTACAAGTCCAGGAAGCACAGGGAACCCCAAACAAAAGGAATCCAAAGAGGACCACACCAAGACACATCATAATTAAAATGCCAAGAGCAAAAGACAAAGAGAGAATCCTAAAAGCAGCAAGAGAAAGAAAATCAGTTACCTACAAGGGAGTACCCATACGACTGTCAGCTGATTTCTCAACAGAAACTTTGCAGGCCAGAAGGGAGTGGCAAGAAATATTCAAAGTGATGAATACCAAGAACCTACAACCAAGATTACTTTATCCAGCAAAACTATCATTCAGAAGTGAAGGCCAGATAAAGAGCTTCACAGATAAGAAAAAGCTAAAGGAGTTCATCACCACCAAACCAGTATTATATGAAATGCTGAAAGGTATCCTTTAAGAAGAGGAAGAAGAAGAAAAAGGTAAAGATACAAATTATGAACAACAAATACACATCTATTAACAAGTGAATCTAAAAATCAAGGGAATAAATAATCTGATGAACAGTATGAACTGGCGATTGTAATAGAATCAGGGACATAGAAAGGGAATGGACTATTCTTGGGGGTGGGGGAAAGGGGTGTGGGGTGAGGGAAGAGATTGGACAATAATCGTGCACCTATGGATGAGGACAGTGGGTGGGGAGTGAGGGTGGAGGGTGGGGTGGGAACTGGGTGGAGGGGAGTTATGGTGGGAAAAAAGAGTAACTAATGTAATAATCTGAACAATAAAGATTTAATTTAAAAAAAAGACAGGGGAAAAAAAATAAAAAAAATAAAAGAACTTTGTCATTCAAAAAAAAATTGACAAGTTAAGAAAAAATATTAGAGGAGACTTACACAATATAATTAATGGAGATATTTTTATATATAGTGAATGGAAATATATATAAGTATATAAAACTTTGAACTTAATTAAAATATACAGGTGATTTTTAAAAGCACATGGAACATTTACAGAAATTAACCAACTAGATCTTTAATCAACTCTCAACAAATGTTATGATTTGAAACTGTACCACATTCTATGAGTGTGATGAAATAAAGAACAAAAGGGTAATCAAACTACATTTAGAAACTAAAACCTGCACTTTATTTTATTTTTTTTTAATATATTTTATTGATTTTTTACAGAGAGGAAGGGAGAGAGATAGAGAGTTAGAAACATCGATGAGAGAGAAACATCGATCAGCTGCCTCCTGCACATCTCCTACTGGGGATATGCCCTCAACCCAGGTACATGCCCTTGACCGGAATCGAACCTGGGACCTCTCAGTCCACAGGCCGACGCTCCATCCACTGAGCCAAACCGGTTTCGGCTGCACTTTATTTTTTTAATAATTCTTTATTGTTGAAAGTATTACATATGCCCCCCCTTTAACTCCATTGGCCCACTCCAGGTCCCCCCGCCCCAGCTCCCCTCTTCCAGCCTCAGGCCTTCAGCACCCTATTGTCTGTCCATGGGTTCTGCATTTACGCATGCAAAGTCTTTGATTGATTACCTACCACCCACCCACCCTTCCCTGCCTTCCTCTGAGCTTCTGCAGTCTGTTCTATGCTTCCATGTCTCTGGGTCTATTTTGTTCATCAGTTTATTTTGTTACTTAGATTCCACATATGAGTGTGATCATGTGATACTTGTCTTTCTTTAATTTCACTTAGAATGATACTCTCCAGGCCCCTCCAGGCTGTCCCAAAGAGTAAGAGATTATTCTTTTTCACTGCTGCATAGTATTCCATGGCATAAATGTACCACAGCTTTTTTATCTACTCATCTACTGGTGGGCACTTGGGCTGTTTCCCTATCTTAGCTTTTGTAAATTGTGCTGCTATGAACATAGGGGTACATACATTCTTTCTTATTGGTGCTTCGGGTTTCTTAGGATATATTCCTAGAAATGGGATCACTGGGTCAAATGGAAGTTCCATATTTAATTTTTTAAAGAAACTCCATACTGTTTTCCATAATGGTTGCACAAGTCTGCATTCCCACCAGCAGTGTGCTAGGATTCCCTTTCTCCACATCCTTGCCAGCACTTGTCATTTGAAAAACTGCACTTTAGATAAATTAAGTCCAAAAGAAATTAAATTAGGAAATATTTCAAAGTGGACTACAATTTAAATTACATATCAAAAGCTCTAGAATGTAGCTGAAGACTTAGGTGTTTATATTAGAAGAGAAAAATATTGATCTATGTGCCCTATTGAAAATATTAGGGAATAATGGCAGAATAATATATTGAAGTTAATAAAAAGGGAACTTATAAAGTAAAATGCATACACATATGTGCTGGAAAGCAATAGAGAAGGCAAAATCAACTTTTAAAAACAATAGAATAGATGAATAGGCAAGGTTAATCAAGGAAAGAATATTGGGAGTGCAAAAGGGAACAGAGCTACAAAAACTACAAAATTTAAAATAGTAGGTTAGTTTGGATATATTTATAAAAATACAGGACAATTCCTAGTTTTACTAAAGCTTCAAATAAATGAGAAACTGTTTTTTCCAATCTCTTCCATACACTAAAGAGAAAGAAAGCTCCCTAATTTCTGTTATCTAACTTGTGTTACCTTGATAATAAAATGAGACAAGGTACATATTTAAAAAGGAAAATTTGAGTCCATCTTACTTAAAATCATATAAGCAAAAATTCTAAATAAAGAATTTGCAAATGAAACCCAAGAATATTGGAGAAGGCTCATATATCAGAGCTAAAAATGTTCATTCCAGGAACACAAATGCAAAAGGAAAAAAAATCCATCCTGAGAAAAACATCAGACAAATCCCAATTAAAGAACATTCTACAAAATATCTAATCAGAACTCCTCAAAACTGTCAATGTCATCAAAAACAAGGAAAATCTGAGAAAATGGCATAGCCAAGAGGAAGCTAAGGAGACATGATGATTAAATGTACTGTGATATCCTAGATGGAATCCTGGGACAGAATAAGGAAGGACATTAGGTAAAAATTAAAGCAGTCTGAATAAGTATGGACTTTGTAATAATGTTTTAATATTGGTTCATTAATTGTAACAGCATACCATACTTAGGTAAGATGTTTAGCAATAAGGAAACTTAACATGGAGTATATGGGAACTCTGTATACTATTTTAGTAATTTTTTGTAAATCTAAAACTGTTCTAAAAATTAAGTACTTTTTAAGAATTACTTTAGGAAAAAGTTGTAAGAAATTGTTCATCTTATTTATTTTACTTTAGAAAATTTTCACCTTAATTTTTTTACTCTCAATATAGAAGCATTGATAATTTTCCTGAAAGAGTAAAGGCTGTACTCAGATTGTATTTCCAGGGTTAACACACATTTTTTTCCGTAGATAGCAGTGAATGCCTTGCAGACGACTGTAGCATAATCGCCGGAGGGAACCTCACTGGTTGGCACCCAGACTCTGCTGCTGTGTTATGGCGAAGAGTCTTGGGAATCCTCGGAGATGTGAATAATATCCAGTCGCCCAAGATCCATGCCAAAGTTTTTGGCTACCTCTATGAACTCTGGTATAAACTAGCAAAGGTACTCTTGCTATATTACCTTTTTACTCTAACATGGAAAAACTGACTTAGTTTCATTAAAATTGTGTTGCAGTTCACCACTGAATACATCCTGGGATAATGATTAGGTGTTGACACAAAGTATATTTGAATATCAAAGAATAAATAGTAATACCTATAGTTTGGTCATTTTATAAATATGAAAGAGTCATTTCATTTAATGCATAAATATTATATTACTATAGGATATTAAAGAGTAGGGTATTATTTAGCAGTATTAATTGCTTTCTTTATGAAAGTGATACTGGTTTTATTGTATAAAATTTGAAAAATGGTCCAGCTAGTGTGGCTCAGTGGTTGAGTGTCAACCTGTGAACCAGGAGGTCATGGTTTGATTCTGTCAGGGCACATGCCTGGGTTGCGGGCTCCATTCCCACTGTGGGGCATGAAGGATGCAGCTGATTGATTTTTCTCTCTCATCATTGATGTTTCTATCTCTCTCTCCCTCTCCCTTCCTCTCTGAAATAAAATGTGTATTTGTTAAAATACACATTTAATAAATAAAAATGTGTATTTGTTAAAAATTTTAAAAAGATAGAAAATCAAAGTAGAAAATTGACATCACTCCCCACAGAGATAACCAATATTATGGTCTTTTAGGGGTAAAAAATTTTTATAAAAGTAAAATATTAGAGTACATACAATATTCATTGTTTTTTAAAATTTTTTATTTATTGATTTTAGAGAGAGAGAAAAAAACATCAATTTGTTGTTCCACTTATTTATGCATTCATTGGTTGATGCTTGTATGTGCCCTGACTGGGGATTGAACCCACAACCTTGGCATATCAAAACAAGGCACTAACCAGCAGAACTACTGGGGCCTTTTCATTCTGCTTTTTGTTTCTGTTTATTACATACATTTTTCCAATGTTATATATATATATTTATACACACACACATATATATATATATTTAAATATATTTTATTGATTTCTTACAGAGAGGAAGGGAGAGGGCTAGAGAGTTAGAAATATCGATGAGAGAGAAACATCAATCAGCCGCCTCCTGCACACCCCCTACTGGGGATGTGCCCGCAACCAAGGTACGTGCCCTTGACCGGAATCGAACCTGGGACCCTTCAGTCCGTAGGCTGATGCTCTATCCACTGAGCCAAACCGGTTAGGGCTATATATATATTTTAAAACGTGATTCATGTTTATACAGTATAACTTGTTCAACCATTCTTATCATGTAGAGTTCAGGACCACTCCATTATATTCAAGGAAAAACAATGCCCTAGTTTTTATTCAGTCTAAAGCCACATATAGTAAGTTAGATATAAAATTCAAAATGACAATAGTTCTCAAAATAAAAGAAAAACTTGTAACTATTGTAGGTTTTTACTCAAAGAAATTGTATTGGAAGCAGCTAGTTGACCATGGAACCCAGTATTGGGATATTGTTGGGGTAAACTGTATTGCCTTCCCTAATCTCCTCTTTGTGAATTAGATACGGGATAATCTGGCAATAAGCCTGGATAACCAAACTTCTCCATCTCCTCCGGTCTTGATCCCACCACTCAGAATGTTTGCATCATGGCTATTTAAGGCAAGTGGATATGTTTTTATTCCTTTATTGTAATTTCCTCTTCCTTTCTGAAATTAAGTTTTTAAAATGTAATTTCCCAAGACGGCATGTTTTGAAGACAGGCTGGGTCTTACTAAAGCCAGTGTATCCCACATCTCCACAATCAACTCTTATGGAAAACTGAAAAGTAAAGGAAATGTTGAAATGCCCGGCTGCATCTGGAGTTGATTAAACCTTCAAACATCATCTTCTTGGCAGGCGACGACATTGCCAAATGAATATAAGGAAGGCAAACTACAAGCCTACAAACTGATCTGTGCCATGATGACCAGACGCCAGGACGTTCTGCCAAACTCAGACTTCCTGGTGCACTTTTACCTGGTGATGCACCTGGGATTAACCAGCGAGGATCAGGTATTCTGTGACCCCTTTACATTGGTAGCTCATTATTTGGAAAGTACATAGGATTCTTCACAGGTTAAATTTGAGTTTATGAAAATACATCAGAAATGTTAAAAGTTCTCATTAGTTTCGACTCTTACAACAACATACTGGCCTTTCAAAAATGAAAATCAGATTATTATCACATTCCTTTTTCTTCTCCCCACTGACTGCATTGAACCAACCAAATTTGAATTTTATTCTATGGCTTCTACACTTCTATATGATCTAACCTTTGCCTATGTTGTCAACCTCAAAAATACTATTTCAACTGCTTTTTTTTTGTTGGGATTCTACATTAGATATTGTTTGAAGAAAATTATTCTGGTCATTTAAAAATGTTTGAAAACTATCATTTTAGAAGTTAGGATGTTTTTCTGGAAGACCTCACCCATAAATTATGGGTCCTGACGTTTCCTGGTTAGGAGTTATTTTAATTTCTATCACAAAGAAATGTGATTGGTGGTTAAGTTGAAAGGCCCAGGAGCCACCAGCAATAGCCCCTCTGTGTAGACAAGCAGTGGGCAAACTACGGCCCGCGGGCTGGATCCGGCCCTTATGTAATGATGTTTACTTTGAATTTAAATTAGTTCACACAAACACTCCATCCATGCTTTTGTTCCGGCCCTCCGGTCCAGTTTAAGAACCCATTGTGGCCCTCCAGTCAAAAAGTTTGCCCACCCCTGGTGTAGACCCTGGGTGTGCAGGATGGGATGTGGCCAGCCTCTGGCCTTCCTACCTTGAGAAGTCCCCTGCAGTGGGCAGAGTGTGTGGGGGGAGGAACACTCTGACTCCTGATTTTCTTTGGAAATATCAAGCAGTCAAGTGGTGTGATTGGTTTGTATTTCACAGAGATTATTCTGGACTCTGTTTGGAGGATGGATTTTGAAATGTGACAGTGGTAGGATAGAGTTGGAGATTGGGCCTGGAGACAGGGAGATTAATTAGGAAGTAGTTAAATGAATATAGATTTTTTTTAAAATGTTGAGAACTAAGATAGTAGCATTGAAGATGGAAAGAAGGAATAGAAAAGATTCAAGAAATTTTAAGGCATTTAATTTTATCTAGAATTTCTTTAGCAATTTGAGGCATGGGGAGTGATCCAGAATTTACCCTTTGAGTTGTAGATTCTTATTAATGAATGTGAATTATTCATGAACTGTAAGTAGCCATCCTTTCTGTATTCCTTCTATTCTTGAATGTGTGAAGCAAATACACAGACTTTTTGGTGCCCCTAGGATACATGTAAGAGGTCATTCTCCTGATTGACCAGCTTTTCTTTGTTGCTTCAGAATGCACTTGAACCTTCCCAACCAAATTCCTGAGTATATTCCCTGATATTATATATTCCCTGAAATTATTTCGAGCTTTAATCATTGAACTTTTACCTGGAGTAATTAAACCGTGCTGACCTACTGAGTTGTTTTTGTCATAGTTGCTCCAGTTTCAGCATTATGTATAGGACATTTAGATATCAGGCTGGACTTAAACCCATAGTCTCGTTTATTTCCCAAATAAAAGTAGAAATGGACGTGAAAGTGGAACTGTTTGTGCTCTGTGCTCAGATATTGTGCAGCCATCATTGCAGGTGGAAGCATCTTTTGCCGAATGATGCAACTCAGGGCATGTGGAAGATTAAGGGGTTTAAATAGAGAAGAGAATTAACTCTCACAGATAATAAGGACATCCCTCAGTGACCGAAACAAGAGAGGAAGATGTAGTTAGCATGCTGTACTTGAAAGCAGTATTTGCTAAGATTTTGGAGAAAAAAATTTACTTGGAAATAATAATCAATTGTAGAATCTTCTCTTTTAATAAAAACAAATTTAAAGTCGGCAGTAAACAATATTTCTAGAATAAGTTTTCTAGAAAGTCATATAATTAGGTGTGACTTTGGAATCATCTTCCTATTTTAAAGTGTGTTAGAGTGAAAATGAAACAACAAAATGAGATGAAATAAGTATAACATTTGAGAACCCAAAATAGTATTTCAAAAAATTGGATTTTACAGTGTAGAAAAGGGAGTTTTCAAATTTTATACTTAAAATCATTTTCACATTTTAATGTATGCGATGTTTTTTGTTAATTTGATCTTTTGTAAATCATTTTAAAATAATGTAAATCTTAATGATGGCCAATCGCTAACAGTATTTCCAACGTCCAGACTTCTAAGATGAAAACGGAGATAGCATAAATCTCTTTTTTATAGTCTGCCTATTGTTTGGGACATTAAAAGCTTCAATTCTTATGTGTTTAGTAGAATTGACTGTTTTACTTTAACCTTTACAGTTAGTGGTATATGTTTTAGAAGCCTTGTCTTAAAGTAACAGAATTACTTTAAGTAAACTTTGTTCCTTTGCCAGAAGAAAATTGAGCAGAAGACCTCCTAATGAAAGAAACTTTTCTCATTTAAGAAAGAAATATCTCTGGTAATTAGTTTAACTTTTGGGCCACATGTCTAAATAGATCGTGGTAGTTGTTCCAAAACTTATATGTACTTCTGGAAACACGTTATATTAATTATAAAAAGAAAAGATAGCTTTTACTGTAAATAGTGCAGTTAAACTCAGTTTTTTAAATTGGCAGACTGTGCACCTGTGACCCGTCTGCGGGCTTATTGCCATCTTGTGGGAGTTCTTAAAGAGCCACACTTCCAGGTAGTCTGGCACTAAGGGCTTTCTTCCTGCAGATAGAACCTTCTAATTTTTTCTTATTTTGTAGTAAGATAAGTAATAGCAAATAGTTTTCTAAATTTTAACATTTGTTTGTCTCACAAATAAAATCCAAGGTGAATTTGTTCCTTTCGCCTCTGGGTGGCACACTTGTCTGCGAGATTCAGCTGTGTGGCTCAGGAACCACCACTGGGCTCTAAAACTGCCTTAGACTAGACCCTGGGCCCTGTGAGCACGCTGGTGGGGCATGGTCGTTTTACAAATGTTTTCCTGAATCTGAGAGTATCAAAATTATGTCATGGAGACTAATAAAGGGTTGAATTTGAAATAAGCTCTAAGATGTTGAATATCTTTTTTTCAGATATAAGGGTAACTTACATAAAGTCATTGAGGACTTTATTTAAATATTTATTTATTTATTTATTTATTTATTTATTTATTTATTGTTAATCCTCACCCGAGGATATTTTTCCATTGATTTTTAGGGAGAGTAGAAGAGAGAGGGAAAGACAGGGAGAAACATCGATGTGAGAAAAATACATGGAATTGGTTGCCTCCTGCACAAACCCCTACCCAGCCTCGGGCCAGGAGGACACTGCAACCAAAGTATGTGCCCTTGACTGGAATCGAACCCAGGACTCTTTGATCCACAGGCCAACACTCTATACACTGAGCCAAACCCACTAGGGTGAGACCTTTTTTAATTAAAAAAACAAAAACAAAAAACAACTTTGTGAAATAGATGTCGCACAGATTGTGTTCTGTGATATAATCATGTAAAGTCATGGTTTAATCTAATAATAGCAATTTTTAACTGGTGTTCCACGGCATAGAATTTTTAAAAACATGCAAACCTGACTATTTAGTCAGGGGCATTGACCTCTTTTTCCTTACTTAGCTTGTCAAATAAAAAAAGAATAAGAGCCAACACAACAATAGCCGTCTGATGTGAATGAATCAAAATTATATCTATTTTTTTTGTCAGATTGGTAAAAAATACGTATTTTTTGGTGTGCTGCATAATTTTAGTAATTAGTTTATGTGTGCCATGAGATGAAAAAGGTTGAAAATCACTGATCTAATATGACAGCAAATTATTTATGTAAATATAGTCACCTCTATATTTTAAAAAAATAATGATTCTTATATGGAATGGCTAGAATTCAAAATGTTACATTCCAAACCAACTGTTTTTAATATTGGTTGGACTTGTTTTAGCTATTCTAATAACTTAATGATTTAATAACTAAAATAATGACCTTATCAAATAGCATAGCCCACAGTGTAAGTTTATGGCTTATTAGTACAATTGAGAAAAATACTTTTAAATAACTTTATTTTTCCCTTGACACTGAATTTTTAAAAAATTGATTGGTACTGGTTCAGAAAAACAATTAGGATCATAAAGACTCTCAAAATAATTAGAAATCATGAATGAAATTTTGGGTGACTTGTGGGACTGCCCACCCTGCTCATGAAGGGGTCTTGCAGGTGGCTTCCCTCTGCTTAGCTGCTGTGCTGGGGGTGGGGAGTAGGGGGCGGGGGGCAGAGGGCCTTTGTTTCCCCGGCACCCACAGTGCCAGGCTATGCTGGGAACTGCACGATGTTGTCCCATTGATTCTTCTCTGCAGTTCAGTTAGATAAATATCATGACCCATTGTTTAAATAAGGTTCAAAAAATATTGAGAACATTTGCCCAATGCCACTTATTTTTTTTAAAAAAGACTGTTATAATTCACAGGCAGGGCTGGCTTATTCCACAGGGAATATCTTTTTCATTGATTCACAGCTAGCAAGTGGGTCATACAAACAGTCCTTGGTCCTATTCCTCTGTCCCGTCTTGTCTTACCTGGGCCCTGGCCTTGTCTCACCCCATCTCAGGAACCTCCTTTGAAATGCCATCCCACACCCAACCTGCAAATACCTTTTCATAGTTCCTTCCTAGTTCATCGCCATCTTTCAGTTTCTCTTCTAAAGCTGTTCCTGGTTCTTCTTAGGTTTTCCTAATGCTGAAGCAGATTTTTCACCTCGGTCTTCTTAAAAATATGTGGACATGAAAGGAGCTATGATTTAAGTTTATTAAGAACAGTTCCTATTAATTTCATCATTATTTAAAACATATGGAAAGATCAATATGTGTGAAATGGAAAAGGACAGTTGAGGAAAGGAATTTTATTTTTATGTTTCTAAGAACATATATCAAAGACTGGAAAGTTTTCTTTGCTTAAAATAAGTAAGCTATTTTTTAACAATGACTTACAGATTTAATGTCTTAATGTAATTTGTCTGTTCTACATCAAA